CATACATACAGACTCCAGAGCACCCATTGACTGTCTTCAGCACAGCTCATCCAAAGACAACATCTACCTCCTGACCACTGTGCTTACTATAGCGCAGAGAATTCTTGCTCAGGGTAGAAGAATAATCATTGACTGGGTCCCCAGCTTGTTGATAGACTAGCTGACATTGGCATGCGGCCGCTCATACCTTACTCCTGCAGCTTCATAGAGAGGAAACATTGGTACTCAAATGCCACAGGCTATGAATCACTGGCACTCTCTGAAGTAAACAACAGAGGTACTTGAAGTCATTCTTCACAGAATCAGACTAGGTTACCACTGTGCATGGCAGATCATAGAAACAATAGACTGTGAAGAGAGGTATTGCATGCAATGTGGCGAGCTGAACGCCATCCTGGTACACTACTTACATAATTGTGAGTACACACAATTCCTGAGACAGGGACTGCCCACAACAGCCACCGTATGCTTAAATTATGGTGGCAGGAGCGCCTGCAGGCAATCCCGCCGCCACGGTAAGCACCGAGTGTCAGAACAAAATGAGACAGCTATATAAAGCTGACACAGACCGGACCATATATGGAAGGCACAGGCGAAGCTAGATCTTCGCAAATCTCAAAGTAAGTGAGAACCGAGAAAGCATTCCCTGATCCTCCAGACGAAGACGACCACCAGTATCGGCAAACAGGACTGCCTAGTCCTTTAGCAGGCTGGGGAGCCTTCCCAGGCTCCCCCGTTGATCTCCACTTCAACTCCAAATACCTGTAGGCACTCATACCCACAATAATCACTCCCTAAAGAGATATAGACCAGTCTAAGTGGTAGATGCTAAAACATTCATTACAGGGTGAGAAAGGTGTTATTAATAAGCAAATAACGATTATACCCTAGTCCTACATTTATTAACGGACGTAACTACAGGTCACACCGACTCAAAAGTTGCCGATCATACGAATAATTTTCCCTTTTACCTGGTTTTACCTGTACCTACTATCGTATGTCGG